TCAGCCTGTCAGTGGCTCCTTCACATCCAAGCAGTCGAAGGCTCCACTCAGAAAGTATGCCTTGGAACAAGCCAGGGGATGTTTTTGGAGCATCATCCCACGACTCATAACTGCTTAGCAAGTGGGTATAACCCAACTATCAACTTGATAATTGAATGGCGACTTATTGGGAGCACTCACCAGCTACGAGCTGCGGGATGATCCTCCAAGTCGGCCCTGATACCATTCTTACAGAACCATAGCATAATCGGGATGTTTGATTTCGCCCATAGAGAATGACATGTAGCATGGAAGTAATCGCATAGACCATATGTAATATACCACATACCTACAATACATATAGTGTATATGTATGCATATGTGTATGTATATATATATATGGGGCCTCATATACGTATATCATCATATACCTACATCACCCAAGTATGATCCAAGGCGCGCTGAGCCCCAGCGCCAGTGCCCAACGCCCCCAACGCGCCCACAGCGTTTTGGGTGCCCGCCGCGGCGCGGCGCGGCGCGAAGGGAACAGGGAGAACATGGCGTCGTAAATGGGAGGGTTACTAAATGGCAAGAGTATTTTATGGTGATTTTATGGTATTTTATGGTTTTTGGTGATTTTATGGTATTTTATGGTTGTTTTATGGTATTTTATGGTGGTTCTATGGTGATTTTATGGTATCTAATGGGATCCAATTGATCTAATGCTTTATACCGAAATGCTGAAGCCTGGAAATGATGTCAAATGACTTATTCATGATGAATCTGCTGAATTCCGGAGGATTACTTTTCTTGACTTACAAAAAATTGGGTGAAGATGACCCATTGTAATTGATGGTCAGGGATAACCAACCATGTAATTGATTTATATTGATTTACACATGGTGAATGCAATATGGCCGTCTCTCGTCACGACTTGTGACCATGCGCTTCAAAAGCCGGCAGTTTCGACATGCTGCGCAAATAGGGCGTAAAAACGCTGCAGCGGACAAAGAAAGCTGCTGAATGCTGCTGACATCCGTCCCCTGGATGTAGCAATGTGTGATACCACTGTTCAGGGAGGGGTCCTTACATCATTTCACCATGTATCCAGTGACGAGCTTGGAAATCACCAATCTTATTCGAGCAGACACAAAGGATGATCGAAGGATGCAACAGGTGAAACCGCCAAATGACCAAGGTACCAAGGCTAATCCGTGAAGAACAGGCTAGCGTTTTGACCGCGTAGCAGGAGCAGCACTTGGAACGGAAATGAAACCCCTTTGATGCCCCTTTGGGCCCCTAGGCCGGTGGGACAATCTCAGACACACTGTGCCAACGTACTAGGGTACGCTGGTGAGGTTACGGGTATCGCTGTAGCTCAAACTCCTATACGGTTGGGATATAGCCCCTACAGCTATGGCCATGTATTGTATATAGCTGCTGATTATATAAGTGGACCTGCACCCCCACGATTTTCACCCTGGTGGCCTTCTGTAGTGCATCGCAGGCCTCAAAAATTGGCTGGTCAGCTATCCCTCCATGGGATACACCCGTGGTTGCTTTTGCTGTTCCCGCCTGGGGACAGTTTGACATAGACTTCAGCTTTTACCACAAGAGATGACTTCTTGCATCTTCAGATTCCGCCTCGTTCTTCAGAACACTTTCTCTGCTAGGATGACTCGAAACCTTGAAAAGCAGCCCTCCTTGCCTTACAAGATCTTACAAGAATGCATGCCACCAGGATTTCTTCTACTCGAGTATAGCGCAATCATGTTGTAGAAAGCTAAGTCAGGTTTGATTTCATCCTAGCATGCCCGCGTTGCGCCACAGATTTCGAGGATGAGTTCCAGCTAGGCCCATGGATACATATGTGCATATACAGACACATACATCACACTACATTGTATATGTCACATTAGATTGCTTTATGGATCAGATTAGATTAGATTGCATTGCATGGCACTACACTACACAACACTCACATTACATGATGTTACGTTACATTCGATTAGATAAGATTTGACTTGATTTGATTTACAGTAGATTACATTAGATTGGATTAGATTGGACTAGACTAGATTATATACAGTGAAGTACATACATGCACAAAATATCAAAAAAAAACTCTACTACACTAAGACTCACACCACAGCAAGTCTGAATCATGGATATCCATTCATTTGCTTTTTCCTCCAGATTGATTCATCAAAACCTACAAAACCTCACCATGTCCTTTTTTGCGTGAAATATATATATATACATATATGTGTGTGCGTGTGTGTGTGTGTGCGCGCGCATGTACATTATATAAGCTAGACTCTTTACCCTTTACCATCTCTGTTACCCTACCCTCTAGTGCTCCAAGCTCTACAAAATGGGTATCTATCACTAAGTGTAAGTATATCTAATTTAGAAACCAGTAACCCCAATTTCAGGGACCAATTTTGTTACGCCCTCAATACCCTTTCCTTTGGCAGTTCACTCCGAGCATCTCATCCCCAGAATGGGTATGGGTCAAAATTGGATATATACTTGAAATATCTTGAAATTACTTGAAAATGTGGGACGTTTTAATCTCATATCTTGACCCATTTCATCAAAGAATCCGCTACTTAGATCAAAATCTTTATTTCGGTGGTATATTGGTATTCTCCATTTTCGGACACGCCCCAACGTCTTTTTGGCGCATTCAAAATCTCCCCCAAAAAAAAAGAAAGGCATCCTCATTCAAATTCCTATCAGTTTGCAATTCTTCCCTTCGATTTACTTCGATGATTTTCCCACTTAGAAACCTCCGCTGAAATAAGGCCATTTGGGGATGATTCCCCTTACAATTCCCATCCTTCCAATGACGTCACGACGTGCGGTCATGATCAAATTCATCCAGAATATATCTCCTCATGTCATTTTAGTTCGAGTTCAATCCGTGAAATCCTAACTATCTCATATTTTAGATGGTGGTCAATCTAAAAAACTCAACTCCCCCAACCCCCCCAACATCCCCCACCAGGCGCCACCTTGGCCTTGACATTCTTCACATCCAGCTTCGCCATCTCCTCCGAAGGTGGCGAGGGCGCCACCTTCGCCTAACGGAGGACCGTTGGTATTGACCTTCTGGCGATCTAACATGGCAAATATGGCAATGGTAAATCCCCATCTTTTTCACGAGGAATCTACATGTGGGGGGTGGCTTTCCATTGCCATGTTTGAGGACCTAAGGGCACTCCACAATCTGGATTTGGGGGGCTCAGTTTTTACCATGCGCAGTGATGAAACTTATTCAGATTGTATACCCCAACCTCTGGCTCTGGCACTCGAGGCGCTGCGTCCTCCGGGTTCCGGTTCAACTTGGTGTGGATCTTCATCCCCCATAGGACTTATAGGGGGAAATTCACCAACAATGGGAATATTATGGGCCATATATCACCAACATAATATGGGATATAGATCTGGCTGAATTATATCAATTCACCAAGCAATAGTTGTTATCATGTGGCCATTTGGGGATGATTTCCCTCACTATTCCCATCATGAAAATGACTATTCATCCGCAAACAATAGAGTGATGGGATAAGTATAACTAAATGATTCTCAATGATATTCATATTATGGTATACACATGTATACACCATTAATTCCGATGCTTTTCATTCACCACCCAGTAGAATATAGAAGGTTAACATAATCCCCTTAGTATTTCCCTATAGGTTTTCCCATCGTATAGGGATGAGTTCCCTTAATTTTCCCATGTAGGTTTTTGATAATGATGGTTATACCACCTAATTATATATAGCATTGTCATTATCATAAAACCTATCATCATAATGATGGTATACACCTATAATATAGGTTTTAACCACCCCATTTGGGGGTTAGAAACCCTGGCAGTCCTCCATGCCCAAAGCCTTCACCAAGGCATCCGCAGCCTTATCCTTGATGGCTTGGATGTCCTGCACCAAAAACGATCAGCTTAAAATGGAGATGTGGAACTACAATAAATCTACAGGTAACCTACATATGGGGTCCTTTAACTACTGTACACAACTTATATATGAGACTAAGTAGAAACATGCTTTGCGGATTTAAGCGTCTCTAATCTGGATTTTTTGGTGTACTTGTGTGATATGGGCATAACTTGCCACCCTTGCAGGTTGATCCCTTCAGCTGTCGATACCCCAAGTCATGTAATTTCATCTCGGTGTCGTGAATCGGCAAGCGATGTGAACCTTGGACCTCTCAAGCACCAAGCCACTAGCAGCTCGAAGCTTCGAGTCTGATCTCCAGACTTCCATAATCCAGCAGCCAATCAACTTTTAAAAATCAAAAACTGGGGAAAAAAAAAACTCCAACATCCTCCAACCAAGTAAGTGGCCTTAAAAAAAAAAAAAAAACTACCCACCCCCACCATCCCCAGCTCTCCGTGCCTTGGGATTTGCCACCTGGTTCGCCTCTGCGGCCCAGGTCGTGATGCTATCCACCACCTGGCGACGTGTGAACGGCCAGAAAACAGCCCCCATATGGCCCATATACCATATATACAATATTTTATATGTATATATAATATTATATATATATAATATTATATATATATACATTTGTGTGTGTGTCCCCAAATCTATGTGTAGTGTATGTAGGTATATTAATATACGTATATAGATAGATAGTTAGATAGCGAGAGAGAGAGAGTGAGTGAGTCAGTAAGTAAGTAAATAAGTAAGAAAGTAAGTAAGTAGGAAAATAAGTAAGTAAAGTAAAGCAAAGTAAAGTAAAGTAAAATACAGTAAAGTAAAGTAAGGAAACTAAAGTAAGGAAAGTAAAGTAAGGAAAGTAAAGTAAGGAAAGTAAAGTAAGGAAAGTAAAGCAAGGAAAGTAAGTAAGGTAAGGTAAGGTAAGCTAAGGTAAGGTAAGGTAAGCTAAGGTAAGCTAAGGTAGGGAGTAAGTAAGTAAGTCAGTAGGTCAGTAAGTCAGTCAGTCAGTAAGTGAGTAAGTAAGTACTGGCTAACTAACTATGTAGGAGTGTATAGGGGCCGAATGCTTGGCCGAATGCTGGCTTATGGGATCTGACTTCCCCCTCTTCCACACTCAGTAGCCAGACGCCTCAGCACGTGCACGTGACTTCAAGGCACTCTCCAAACGACCATCCGCACAGGCAGCCAGCAAGGTGTCCTGGTGCCCAAGTTTGCAGGCGACTTTGGGTTGCAGTAGGCTGGCCCAAACAAATTGCTAAGAATCGACCATAATCGACCCATTCACCAATCACTTTCCACTTCCCCCAGGAAACGACTTGCGTGGTGTGTTTCATCCACTATTTGAAGACTATTTGCATCTAGTCTAGGTCAAAGGGTATCAAAATCCCAAAGTCGCGCAACTTCTTGTCAAACCGAGAAAAATGAGGCCACCTTTGGGTGCCAATTCACATCAGATGTTCGAACGTCAAAAATCTCAAGTCTGAGTGGTAAAAATCGAAGTTTTGGGTATCTGATCTTCTGGATCTTTGTTGCTGCTTTAAAACTGGCAGGTTATATTTAAAAACCCATGGGTTCTCATGGTTTTTCCCTTCAGCAGACGTCCTGGAACTACGCTAAGGTCAACTGAACGAAGCTCCACTGTGAATGGAAGCAGATTGGAAACACCTAACTTATGGAAATATATATATATAACCATGAATTGTCAGTACGAATTGTCCTCCTTCTCAAGAGGGTGTTTGAATTAGCTCTGACCATCTCTGACCTGATCCGGTGGGCGTCCTTGGCGGCTACACGCAAACCCTCCACGTCCATCTCACCAGAGACCTCCGAAATGCAGGAAATCCACCATCTTTTTGCGAAAAAATCTGGATGTTGACATCATTTCACCATCCAAATCTAGCTAGGGTTTATCATCCAAGTCTGTGGTTGGAAGATTGAAATCTAGGGCTCACCATCCAAATCTAAGCTCTTCCCATCCAACTTCCTGGTATTTTGCCATCCAAATCTGGGGACCTATCACAGGAGCTACGCATTGTCCAATGGTTTGCCCTCAACTCTCCAGGCTGAAAGCATTGCCCAATGGTTTGCCCTTCAATGCATTGACTTTCAAGAAACTATGTTTAAACAAATTGGGTAACCACATACACAGTAGGGGGTTCCTCTCAAATGTCCCTTAAAGCATGCCAATTCTGTTTTTACCCCCACTTATAGAATATCTACCCTCTGGCAATCTGGCAATTTAACAGGTTTTGCGGAAACTTCGAGCTCAGGGGACTGCCCCAAAGGACAAAACAGGCCACCCAAGGTCACCAAACAAAAGCTCCACCTCTTTGGAGGCCAGGGTTTGACCTTGGAGCTGAAAAGGATGGAACTTCCAGTGTCATCTGCCAGCGTCGGTCCGAACAAGATTCTCTTTTTCAAAAGGTACGTAATACGTATAATCATATTAAATTACCACCACAATCCTCCCAAGGATTCACATCGTCAAATTGTTCTTGGGATTTTCTCGATCTATGCCTGATTCTCATGGCGCGGGAGAAATGATATGGGAAAGAAACCAAAGAAAGAATTGCCCTCCGCTTCGTCATCATCTTCACTCACATACATACATACATACATACGTATAATTATATATGTGTGTATAATATACATATATATATATCTATCTATCTATCTATCTATCTATCTATCTCTATCATGGTCTATCTATATTTCTGTCTTTCTATCTATATTTTTGCCTATCTATCTATCTTTCTTTCTTTCTTTCGTTCTTTCTTTCTTTCTGTATTTCTTTCTTTCTTTTCTTTCTTTATTTCTTTCGTTCTTTCTTTCTTTCTATTCTATCTCTATCTATCTATTTATCGATTTTTCTTTCTTTCTTTATCTATCTATCTATCTGTCTGTCTGTCTGTCTGTCTGTCTATCTATCTATCTATCCATCCATCTATCTATCTATCTATCTTTTTTTCTATCGTTCTATCTTTCTATCTTTCTATCTTTCTATCGTTCTATGCCCTCTATACTTCTATTTCTATCTATCTGTCTATCTGTCTTTCTATTTATCTATCTTTCTATCTATCTTTCTTTCTATCTATATTTCTTTCTTTCTATCTATCTTTCTTTCTGTCTTTCTATCTATCTATCTTTCTATCTTTCTTTCTTTCTATCTATTTTTCTTTCTATCTATCTTTCTGTCCTTCTTTCTATCTATCTTTCTTTCTATCTATCTATTGTTCTTTCTTTCTTTCTATCTATCTATCTTTCTATCTATCTATCGTTCTTTCTTTCTTTTTATCTATCTTTGTATCTATCTGTCCTTCTTTCTTTCTATCTATCTTTCTATCTTTCTATCTATCTTTCTATCTATGTATCTTTCTTTCTATCTTTCTTTCTATCTTTCTTTCTATCTATCTATCTTTCTTTCTATCTGTCTTTCTATCTTTCCGCGCCATCTCCCCATCCGCCAAAGGGCTCAATGCTTTCGCCAGGCGCCCGTCCAAGGCAGCTTCCTAGCTGGGAGGAGCCAGGGCCCCTCAGGGGGCCTGAGAACCGTGACCAGGCACCGTATTCCAGAAATCCCCAAAGGTCCTGGGTATTGGGTACTGGGTTCGTTCATTCCTCCAAATTTCATTGGATTGAAGGCAAAACTTCAGGGGGAAAACCACGTCCACGTGTTTCAACCAAGAATTGTTTCCCTTCGATTCTAGGAAAAGATGGTCTCATGGTAGCTGACCCCCTCCTCGAAGGTGTTGCGGGCCAGGTCTTTCACCTCCTGATCCGTTAAGCTGGCACCTTGGCAGCGGGTGCACCAAAAAATCAGGGCTGATCCCGAAACTCCAGATTCAAAACGGGTGAAAAGTAGCCAAATAAAGAGGCAAGATGACCCATTTTACTTCCCTTGTGGCTATGTTATGAATCACCGGAAATGATAAATTACCAAAATCTGTGGTATCCATTGGCACCCTGCGCCTCAAAATTTGACCCGTGACCATACCTTTAAGCAACAAATTTGTTAGAATCAAGAAAGATGGGATGGATAGGCACCGAAGTTTCCTTGGATATCCTTGGATTGCTCTATGGGACAATTTTTTTCTGCACCTCAAACAAGCCAAAAAAATCCTTGATGGGGGCACATGAAGGACCCAGGGACAAACGAAAATCCATGAAAGCTCCCCGCATCGGTCCAGTAGTATCAGCAGCCAATGTTTGCCACCCTGATCAATCCACTGCTGAGAGCCCACACGTGTTTCCTGCGCAGAATTCGGGGTGCTTAAAGGGACAATTATGGTTGCAACCATCATCACTCCTTCATAAGGCTTTCAATCTTTCAAAAATGGTCCGGTTCTTCTCGCAATATGGGGAATTGATCCATGTTGATCCATCATATTCCATGTTTAATGATAAACATAAGGTCGCTGGATATACACTGGGTAACTTTCTGCTTGCAGGTGAGTCTTGGTTTATCCCTCTACCCACTAAGAGTGGATAGGTCAATGAAGAGCCCTGCCGAAAATGTGATCATGGTGTGGACTGCTACGGTACTTGTGTCTGGGGTAGAAGTTCTGACTCCACACACAGAGTGTTTCACAGCTAGCATGTCCGCGAGGTGTTAGTGGGTGGGAGGATAGGCCAAGTGATATCAATCATTTCCCCAGACATTAGGTCTTTATGAGTCTTTTGTGTCAAGCCCTGACGAATACACCGGCTGCTTACTTTGGGAAGGTCATCATAGAATAGGTGAAATTCTCCAGCGTTTGCTGCGCCCCTTGCGGTTCCGGTTCCGCCTTCAACAGGGCCTTTTCCAAACTGCCATCCTTCGCAGCGCGCAAAAGGGCATCTGCCGCCTCCTGGTTGGATGGGAAATTAAGACCTGGGGAGCAGCTCTGGTGTTTGGAATCAACCCCCATCCCCAACCAAACTGAGTTTCTGATGTTTTAATGGGCTAAACAATGATTTAAGTTGAAGAAAATTCTAAATGCCACCTGAAAGGAATTCTAAGCGATATGGCGACAATTGTTTACCTGCAACACAAACAACAACAACAACAAAAAAAAAACTTCATCTTCATCAGTTTTCACTCGCAAAAAAAAACTCATTGAAACTCAGGTGGAACCATCAAAAAACATCAAAAATTGGGGAGTTCACCCACATTTAAAAAAAAAAACACACACATAAAACCTATCTAAACCTCCCATGTTCCCAGGTGCTCCAGCCCGCCTGCCGCATCTGCTCCAGCTCCTTGGGTGCCAAGGCGCTGGCCAAGCGCCCATCCTCCGCGGCGCGCAAGAGCGCTGTAGCGGCCTCGGACAGAAATCGGTGGAAAACTCAACCATTTCGAGATAATTTTACCATATTTTACCACATTTCTCTGGAATATGTAGATTTTCCACCTCGAACTCGTTCTTTAGATGTTCGAGTTTGGAGAAGTTTGGGGGATGATGTTTGGGTGATTTTTTTGGGATGATTGCAGGGATTCTTGGATTTCACATGATTTCAATTGATTTCACATCAGAGTCCGGCCTGCTTCCTCAAGTCATCCAATTGAACCGAGTCAAAGTCCTGGCGGCAGCGATGGTTTTCTTCCCCGCTTCGGCCGATCCCAGTTCGCCGCTTCGACCGCGGCCAGCCTTCTTGACAATCTCGAGGGCTTGTTCCAGGCTTCCGTCCTGCCATGGTGGATCAACCTCCCATTGGCGTCGAAGTCATCGTTTTTGTATGTTTTTGTCCACCTTTCTTGGATTTAATATCCATGTGGCTTGGCCCAAAAATGTGGGTATACCCCAAGTTTGGGCAACATGTTCCATGGAAAAATGATGTCTGAATCATCAAACCCGATGGTGTTCCCATAATGTTTCACACATCTCATCTGATTGGTCATGTCACTTTGCATCACATGAAATATCTCCATTGTATCTCCCTTATCTCCATTCTCGTTGATTTAGTACTCCCTTACAGTTGCCATTTCGACAAATCCAGGGGAGCATTGTAAATCCCTACTCTTGCTATCACAAAGAAAATGAAATAACCCCACTTTCACCTTCATGTCTTGCGCCCTGCATGCCCACAAGAGCAACTCGGCGCAACTCTCTCTGTATTGTACAATGTTTAGAAAATGAATCTGGTGATTTTTTCTCAAGTTTAGAAACCCCGACAAGCATGACATGTTACATGTTTTAAGGGAAGCAATTAAACCAATCTTCAAATTAGGTTATTGTTTATTTGGGTGTTTTTGATTTTAAAATCGGAGGTTCCCCCCACCAAAAAAAAAAAGATAATTGCGCAATTTCATCTGCTAGTAAAATGGCACTTGGGGGGTGTAGTTCCGATTTTATGCAAATGTATTTTGTCCATAGTTATACTGGCCTCATATCCTAACTTGTGATGAGGGTGGTATTATGATATATAATGATTATGGGTCTTAAAGTCCCATAGTGATATGCCCATTATCAATGGTAACCATTTATCAATCCAATGGTGCATAATAGCTAGGTATAATAGTTGCTAACCATTAATGACTATCGTTGACCAATTATCAACCAAGTATATATTGACCATTAACAACCGTGTTGGACCAGTTATGAGCATTGATCACCACTATTAACCAAAAACTAACCATGATTAACGAAAAAAATGCACTACTAACCACTATTCACCAAGTACTAGCCATTACTAGCCAACTATGAACCAACTACTACTAAATAGCCAGTATTAACCAAGTATTAACCAACTATTACCCATGGGTAACGCGTTACAACCATTCATAAACGTTGATTGATGCAAGCGACGGACGTTTCTCCGCACCTTCGCCGCCTGCAGCAAGGAGTCGGCCGCCGTCTGGCGCAAGGCTTCCAGGTCCTCTTGTCAACGAATGTATGGGAAGAATGGGATGTACGTCATATCATGGGATAAACGTAATGTATGTAAATCCGCCCGCACCGAAGGTGCTGGGGCGTGATCGTCCGGATGGCACTCGTAAAAGGTTACAGGTTTACCTGGGGGGGGGGTCCCATTTTTCAGCCAAAACCTCCTGTTTTTGATAGGTCGTGACGCTCGCCTTCAAAAAACACTGTAAAAAACAGTACGGAAGACACCTGTTCGTGAACGCGCCCGTCCAAAATCGGCAAGCGAAAAGTGAAAAAAAACCCGTGTTTTTCAACTTTTTGACCTCAATTTTTTGGTTTGCAACATCTTTTTTTGCGGTTCCGCAGGTGGCCTGGCCCGGAGGCGGATTTTTGAGTTTTTGGACCCGTTTTCGGACTGATTTTCGTCGTTTTGTGATAGCAGAAACACTGGTTTTTACAGTGTTTTTCTGTTTTCTGCATGCTTGACGGCTAGCTTCAAAACTTCCAAAAACCTCGTAAATTACGCTGTTTTATGTTACGGTGTGAATGAAAACATCGTAAATACCAGTGTTTTTTGACGTTGGTTAAAAAAACACTGTAAATTACAGTGTTTTTGGCCACCTGACCCTCAAAAACCATGGTATTTGCAGTGGTTTCTGCTTCTCACCGCGCAAAAACACTGTAAATAACAGCAATTTCGCCGTTTTTTCATGTTTTTCGTTATTTTTGAACTGCGTTGGTCCGCTATACATGGCTATCAAATTCTTCGCGTTTTTTTTCCGACAATCAGTACTTTCGGATGTTTTTGGTCTCAATGGCCGACATCATTGGCAGTTACGAGCGGTCGCGAAGGTGTGAGAACAACATCGTTCAAACCGTGGCGGCCGCACAGGGGGTCTTGTCGCGGAGCGACGGCAATAGAAGAGAACAATGGCAGTAGAAGAGAACGATGCGGTGCGGGCGGTTGCCGTCGCGAAGCGACGTGAATATATATATATATATATATCATTATCTATCATTATACTATATATAATGTAAAATGGGGCTCTATATATATATATATATTGTGTGAATTATGTGAATTATGTGTGTGCGCGTATGTATGCATAATGGGATACTATGATATACTAATCAGCATTATCATCATCATCATCATCATCAGCAGCAGCAGCAGCATTTTAATGATCGTTCAACAGGGATATATGTGCATATCGACTGGAATATACAACATTATCTAACCAAGAATATAGCATTGGGTTTACTGGTTTGCTCTCTGGCAATCAAACTTGGCAATGGGAAATTCCCGAACTAAATGGAGTCTCTAGCTGGGAAATCATCGAAACAAATGGAGGATCTTCCAGATAATACGATATATAAATGTGCTTTAAAACTCCGAGGGAAAATTGGGACTTGATGAATTTACCATATAGTTTTGCATATTCTTTCTCAGATGGTATGAGCAAAAATTGGAGGCAAATGCAATGGAAATTCTGGCTTGATCACCTCGTAGCTTTGGCCAATGGAAATGGTGAACTTACCCTAATCCACAAAGATAACCTGGTAATGGAAAATCCCCCTGGAAAAACACCTGCACAAAGTCTTAGATGATTTTCCCAGCGAAACCAGGGATTTCCATTCAATGGGCATCTAAGCATATCTTTCGTATTTGCCTTGGTGGCTCCCTCCGTATCTCTACTAATGCCACCGAATGTACCACTCGTCACCCACCTTGTCATCCGAAATAATTGCCACCGTTACTCATTGGGCACGTCCCAACTAGAAACTGATGAAGCATCAATTTCTGGGTGACCTCCCAAAGGTCACACTGCCCAAGGCAGCTTGGCCCCTCAGTGGTTGTGTGCTAAGGTTGTGAATGGTCAGTGACCCCAAATGATGGCATCACCTGCACTGAGATCCCACAAACATGGTGCCTGTTATACAGGTGGGAACAGGGATGTGGATTAGACACTTCTGGTCACTTTGTACTGACCTTCTTGGTCACCTCAGATCTGTTGGGAATGCCCAACCTCTACCAATGAATTACCGGATGGACTATCGATCAACGATAGATGGGTAACGTCGACATAGCACCCCAACTGGACCTCTCACATAGATACAGGCATAGATTTAGACGTAGATAGTAGATAGGTAGGTAGGTAGGTAGGTAGCTAGCTAGCTAGCTAGCTAGATAGATAGATAGATAGCTAGCTAGCTAGATAGATAGATAGATAGATTAGATAGATTAGATAGATAAGATAGATTAGATAGATTAGATAGATTAGATAGATTAGATGTATTAGATGTATTAGATAGATTAGATAGATTAGATAGATTAGATAGATTAGATAGATTAGATAGATTAGATAGATTAGATAGATTAGATAGATTAGATAAGACTAGATAAGATTAGATAAGATTAGATAAGATTAGATAAGATTAGATAAGATTAGATAGATTAGATAAGATTAGATAGATTAGATAAGATTAGATAAGATTAGATAAGATTAGATCGATTAGATCGATTAGATCGATTAGATCGATTAGATAGATTAGATAGATTAGATAGATTAGATCGATTAGATGGATTAGATGGATTAGATAGTTAGATAGATTATAGCGACGGACATATACTCAGAACATCATTTTTCCAAAATATCGTAACTTTTTCTTAGCACATTAAAACGCCTATACTTAGAACATCAAAACTGTTCTAAGTACTCACTTAGAACATAGTAAAAACCATATACTTAGAACATTTCCTTTGATTTTTGCATACTTAGAACATTAAAAACACATACACTTAGAACATTTCCAGTTACTTTGGTAAATCTGCATATATATATATATATATATATATGAACACCATACTTAGAACACTTTCTCCCCTCACTGCTGCAGAAAAGCATTATATACCTTTTCTTCGGGAACAATATCCCAAGCAGTCTTTGCTGCAATGGGAAGGTCTCTAGTAATTTGTGGGTTTCCTACAGGGGGTAGTCAAAAAGCATTGGGTTCCCATTGGTTCCCATTGGTTCCCATTGGTTCCCATTGGTTCCCATTGGTTCCCATTGGTTCCCATTGGTTCCCCACTGGGATGTTCTAAGTATAGGTCTGAAATGTTCTAAGTATAGGTTTTGGGTATGTTCTAAGTACTGATTATAATCCCATACTTAGAACATCCTCGCCGTGTAGGTTTCCATTTTTTTTCCAAAGTATGTTCTAAGTACAAGTCCGTCACATTAGATAGATTAGATAGATTAGACAGATTAGATAGATTAGATAGATTAGATTAGATTAGATTATATAGATTAGATTCGATTCGATTCGATTAGATTAGATTAGGATTAAGATTTAGATTTAGATTAGGGATTAGGGATTAGGGGTTAGGTATGAGGGATTAGGGATTAGGGATTAGGAATTAGGAATTAGATTACGGATTAGATTAAGGATTAGATTAAGGATTAGATTATGGATTAGATTAAGGATTAGACTAAGGATTAGATTAAGGATTAGATTAAGGATTAGATTAAGGATTAGCTTAAGGATTAGCTTAAGGATTAGCTTAAGGATTAGGTTAAGGATTAGATTAAGGACTAGCTTAAGGATTAGATTAAGGATTAGATTAAGGATTAGATTAAGGATTAGATTAAGGATTAGATTAAGGATTAGATTAAGGATTAGATTAAGGATTAGATTAAGGATTAGATTAAGGATTAGATTAAGGATTAGGTTAAGGATTAGATTAAGGATTAGATTAGATTAGATTAGACTAAGGATTAGGTTAAGAATTAGATTAGATTAGATTAGACTAAGGATTAGGTTAAGAATTAGATTAGATTAGATTAGATTTAGGTTAGGTTAGGTTAGGTTAGGTTAGATAGATAGATAGATAGATAAGATCAGTTAGTTAGTTAGCTGGTTAGTTAGTTAGTTAGTTAGATAGATAGATAGATAGATAGGTAGGATAAGATTAGATTAGATTAGATCACGATTAGATAAGATTAGATAAGATTAGATAAGATTAGATAAGACTAGATAAGATTAGATAAGATTAGATAAGATTAGATAAGATTAGATAAGATTAGGTAAGATTAGATAGATTAGATAAGATTAGATATATAGATTAGATAGATTAGATAGATTAGGTAAGATTAGGTAAGATTAGATAAGATTAGATAGATTAGATAGATCAATCAATCTATCAATCTATCAATCTATTAATCTACCAATCAATGAATCACTTAGTCAATCAAACAATCTCTCAATCTATCTATCTCTCCACCCATCCATCCATCCATCTATCCTATCTATCCTATCCTACCCTATCCTATCCTATCCTATCTCTTTATCTCTCTATCTCTCTATCTCTCTATCTATTTGTCTATTTATCTATCTATCCATCTATCCATCTATCCATCTATCCATCTATCCATCTATCCATCTATCCATCTATCCATCTATCGATCCATCTATCCATCTCTCCATCTCTCCATCTGCCCATCTATCCATCTATCCATCTATCCACCTATCCATCTATCCATCTATCCATCTATCCATCTATCCATCTATCCATCTATCCATCTATCCATCTATCCATCTATCCATCTATCCCATCTATCCATCTATCCATCTATCCATCTATCCATCTATCCATCTATCCATCTATCTATCTATCTAATCTATCTATCTATCTATCTATCTATCTATCTAATCTATCTATCTAATCTATCTATCTAATCTATCTATCTAATCTATCTATGTAATCTATCTATCTAACCTGTCGGTCGGTCGTGTCGTGTCGTGTCGTGTCTTATCTTATCTTATCTTATCTATTTCTGTATCTAAGTAGGTAGAGATACATATATATATATTGAATATCACTTAAATATATATATTTATACATATATATATATGTTAGATATTCGATATCCTTGTTTAATGCATATATATGTGTGTGTGTTATACATATGACATATGATTTATGTATATATGATATATCCTAGGGATACGCGATAGAGGTGGTTATACGATTTATCAGTGCGAATTCCTCCCGTGGTGATGAAACGCGCAGCGCACCTTCGCCTCTGCGGCTCCACCTTGGCGGTTTCACCCAGGTGTTGACTTAATCATGTCTTTGCATGGCCAAAAATTACTCTGTCTGTGTACGTGTAGCCATACTTCCTATGGCATCTACATCATTCTACATCTACATCTTGCATCTATCTCTGCAACATCACACATCCATGTAAGGTTACAAAGTGACCCATGACGCCCTCCGCCGGTGTTTGAGTGGACCGGACCTCCCAAAGCCTGGCTCCAAAACAGCGGAGATGGGGGATGACTCGTAACTGGTGAACTGGGGGTAATCATGGTTATAAGCCATTTATGAATGGGATAATCCAAGTATAAATGGGATAAGCTCTGAGGAAACTTATTTACTAGGGCTACTAATATGGTTGAAATCAACAATGGTCAGTGTTTGCGTTCCAACGGTTGGATTTTACAAAGAAACCGATGACTTTTTTTCCCTGTGTTGTTCCCATTGGTTGCTGGTTTGACTGCGTTGATCATGCTTGGATCTCCAAACAATGGAAAATATGGTTTAACGGTTTAATAGTTTACTCTGTTTGAAAGCACCAACCAGTTTTGGCCAACTTGAATTTCCTCAGTGGGAGGGACTGTTTTGGAGGACACCGTGGCTTTGAATCACGATTTCTGACTATCAAAAAATCCAAGCAGAGGTGCTTGAGGGCATGGATTGGAGGAGAAAATTGCATGACAAAGGAACTTCTTATGGAATGATTGCTTGCGGACCCGTGAACAACTAATGAGCCAGGTCAGGAATTCCTTCGTACTGGGTACGCAATTCCCACAGCGCATCCGACTGATCGAGGCCTCATTTGTTTCCCGCCATCGGACCTTGGCCCACCTCAGCCCCCCACGACACCGTCGACACCTGCTCCAATCGTCCATCCTTCGCAGCAATCAGCAACGTCTCAGCTGCAGCCCTGCGGAGCCCTTCGAGGTCCTGCGAGCCGAACGGAGCCCTTCGGGAGCTCGGTTTTTGGGCGATGTAGATATAGAATGGTGGATATAAATATATATATATATACATACATATATTTATTTATATGTTTGTTTATTTATTTGTAGAATGTATGATAAATATATATATATATACATATTGTAGATATGCGAATACATACATTAGATAGATATGTAATGATATGTATATAGATAGATTATGATGTGAGCAAAATATTATAGATATTCATAAATACGAGCTAGGTGTGTGTTTGTGCAAATATATCAGTCGATTCAAGTTGCCGGTTTGGTGCACTTTCTCACCATTTTTTGGAGAAACCCAAGTCCAAGAGCTGGTGAAAATGACTGACGGCGTCCTCTCCCCTGGTCTCGGCAAATGCCTTGTCCAAAGACCCATCCTCGCTGCTAACGGTAACATCTGACGCCAGAAAATCTCAGACAGTTGACTGCGGATTTCAGTTCCCGGGAGTTCCTCTTCCTGGAACAGTCAGTTAAGAACTTACTGAAACCATCACTGGCCGCTGTCCGCCTCCGCAGCCTTCAATAGGGCCAAGGCGGCCTCCTGGTGAAGCAACCGTGATGCAACAGGGATGGCGGATTGAACCAACCATTTTTTTGAAGATATAGTGAGATACATGCATGTAGACATACATAAAATAACGTTGCAAGATGACATGACATTCCATCACATTACATTACACTAAACTGCATACATGTGCATATGTATATACATCTCTCTCTCTCTCTGTGTATATTGTATGTATTCGGGGCACGAGCAACCGTATATATATATAGATAGATAGATAGATAGACAGACAGACAGACAGATAGATAGATAGATAGGGATGCATTGGTTTGTGCAAGAAATGGTGGATACTTGATATCCCATTGTAGTGCAATTTTGATGGGCAAAATGATAATCACGGGATTGTGGGCTGCTCTGTTTTCAGTATGCAACCGAAAATCCTTCCAAGGCATTCCCAGGTCCAAAGGAAAAGATCTATTCTGGATGATGCTGTCCAATTTGTCCAACTAGTCCAGCAGTTTGGCGTACAAAAATGAACATTGAACCACATGCAGTTATGGCAATAGAACCCAGCAATATGATCAATACATTGGTTTGTCCAGCAAATACGGTTGCTCTGTCGAACATGGGGATGTGCGGGATGTGGATGTAGTCCATTGCTATAATGTGTGTTCCGTGTCCAAACTCAGACGGGATTCATCCTTTGTCGTTGGGCAAAATCGTGTTCCAAAGCATCCAGAACCACACCGCCTTGAAAACTAGCCTTGGGAGATGAGGAGTGTGCGTGTATGTATATATATATACATATCTGCGTGTGTATGTGTGTGTGTGTCACCAAATAAAACCAAAAGAAAATCAGCAATAAATACACAACGGACATAGATAAGCTAAATAAAACAAAATAAATGAATAAATAAACAAAGTATATACAATATATAATTATACACCTCTATAATATATATATATTGTTCTGAGCAAGTGTGTGCGTATTTTTGTGGTGGGGTTGTCGGGGTTGTCCAGTCCCACCTGCTTCAGCACTTCGAGTTCCCGTTCCTGGCGTTCCTGGCGACTCTGGCTCTGGTTCTTAATGGTTCTTAATGGTTATTAATATAATGTGGTTCAAACAATAATAAACCGTCCCCCAGTCATCACCATTTTTATATGTGGTATAAACTAAACCATTCCCAAATGGGTGGTTTATTCTTGTTTTTTCCCACATTAGTCCACCCCAAATAGATGGAAAAGATTGGAAAGGTCAACTATCCTTAAAAAATTATCGTATGGATTCACTTTTTCCATCTGGGGCTCACTATGGGTATAATTTATGATGATATAATAATTGACTAACCTGAAATAAAGGTGATTTGGGGATACATCCCCGAATCCTAACCATTGAGGGCGCTATAATCTAATGGGTATTGTATAATATGCATAACGATGGCAAAAAACAATCATGAGTTGGGGTATGCTTGATAGAACCCCTATAGTTAACACTGCTTAGGTGGTTCTGGTTGTATATCCACTTATAACTTATAACTGGAACTGCAGCACCCAGCAGAAACTAACTAGCACGGGTACCTGGATTCTTCGCCAATACGTCCGGCTGCAACACCTTTTTCAACGGTGCTGCGGCCGCGTCTGGGCCGAGCCACAAAAGTTGTGGCGATGGCACGAGTAAAACCCCGGCAAAATTGACGGACCCATTGGCCCGGAAATCCGCACTTCGTCGGTACTCCACGGATGAAATTTGTGTCCCTTATGGCCCCTGGGTTTATGAAAAACGGAAGCACCAGGCCACCCAAGACAACTCCAACGGCTGTGTCAAAATGCAAATGGACCCTCCACTAAATTGGCAGTTTGACTCTGAAAGTCGCTCTACAAATTGAGTGGAAAAAATCTTCCAAACCCCGAACTCACAGGGTCGAGCTGTTAATTTCTCAACAATGACACTGTGTGCTTCCAAGTAGTGCGGTCTGGCACCTCAGGGAATTTCAAAGTTAATTAAGGCCCAGCTTGGCTATCAGATCTCCTTTAGCTCTTTGCCATGGTGGGCTGCGGCTTCGCATGTCCTTGGAATTGCTGATGTGGGGGAGCAGAAAAATAATATAGATGTAATAACTACAGGTATGACTAGGACTAAAACATACTATAACATACTACAAGTATGATTACGTATAACTCCGTATAACTATAGTTTGCATACTTTTTCAACATTTTGCCCCCAAAAAATGGTAGGTTTACCCTTACTTGATAAAAATATTCAACTAAAAAAAAAGATAAACTTTTTTTCGCTCGAGGTGTCGCAGAACCAGGGGCTGTTGAGCCTCCATTGGGTCATCTGCAGACACCTGGGGGGCCGAGTTCACGCGGCCGGCGGCCAAAATCCAGACGTTCCAGTTCTGCTTGAGGTACATGCGCTCCTTGGCTGGGGCAATCCAATGTGGGGCCCCGGGCTCACGTTGTAGCTAGGTTGGCTTATGACTAGGTCAATTCTATGGGTTTTTGGTGGGTACGACTATACTTAATGGGCTTTATAAACCAACTTACAACTGGGGATCACCTCTCTCTATCATTTCACTAGCAAATGAACTCACGAGTTGGGGTATACCTCCTTGATAACCCAGGGTTGACACAGGTTTCTTTGATTCACTGGATTGGTGGGAAAATCTGCGTAAAGCCATGCAATGTGGTTCCCATGGCTTGCTATTGGTGAAATCTGACGCCCCGAGAACTGGGTGGGCCCCAGGTCAGCCTCAAATGGCCATCATGGGATGGGACATTCATTAAGCATTGAATCCAAAAACATCACGGTCATGGTCATGATATGTCATGATCATTGTCACTTCTCAATGATTTCATAGTCGTCCTCCAATTCTCACCAGTTCACTGGATTGTTTGAGATGTTAATTTGTGTGTATGTGTCCTTAGATCCCTTTTCTTTTTGTGAACAAACTGCATCGAAACATGCCATGGCTGCACCGCAGGTCAAGTCTGGCCAAGTCTCACTTTGAAAGCTGAGGAGAAGGTGTTCTCCTGCGACACAACCCAAAGCAAAACAATGGGAAGCCTGGATGAAACATGACGAAAGCGTGTTAATGCAGGCAAATTGCAAAACATGATGGGTTGTCCATGTCTTCAAACGAGCCCACTGGCCATTTGGAGACATTGCCTGCTTCTTTCTGTATCTTCCTATACTGGAGGTTGCAAAATCATTCTACCCGATAATGATTTTTTCGGACAATGACTCAGGAAAAACCATTGCAGTAAGTAAGGATGAGTTTGGGGGGATTCGATGCCTCCCACTGTAACTCTACCCTCTGGCGAACTAGCATGAAACAAGAAATGCCACATGTATCCTCACTGAAGAGTTCGGCCAGGGAGGATTCCCCCTGCTAACATCATCAGTGTCGCAGTGAGGTTTCTATGATTTCTCCAGGTAGATCCCCTTCTACCATCTTCTACCAGCATGGTTCTTGGTTCCGTGACTTTTTTTGGTGGTTCAATGTGGTTCAACCACCTGTTGGCCATCCAGATTTTCCATAGTGACCATGTCGCCACTGATTTCTCTCGCCAGATTAAGTTACTGTTGCAGGAAGGGGCCCCTCAACTCATTGATAGGTCCGATAGGACAAGCTGTTTTTTTTCGTATGATCATTAGGATGTATAGTGAATATAATTAGTGAATATATCTATAACTAGCAAAAAATAAATAAAGGAATGTATATGTTGTATATGTATAGATATATATATATATGTGTGTGTGTGTAGTTCGATGGGGTTATATAATTATAAACTAACCCATAACGGGGAACCCAGGGCTGTGGGCCCTGTGGGCCCTGTGGGCCCCTCACCTTCTGAAGGACTCACGCGGACAGAAATCTCCTGTGGGAAAAGTGGAAGGAATCGACAAGTGGTTGGTGGTTGGTTCATAATGGTTGATAATGGTTATTACTAATGGTTAATGGTTAGTACTGGTTTATAATTGTTTCTAATGGTCAATAATGGCTCATGATTGTTAATATATAATCCAAAACATACTCGTAATCTCAACCAAACATCCCAAGTCTGGTTGTTCAAAACTATAAACAGTCCCATCCCCAGTTCATGTAACAGCCACATTCAATGGTCCCAAATTTCATCCCCTGTTAAACCAATGATCGGTGAATGGGATTGTGCAAAACCCGCAGGTGTGCCACAGCTCACCCAATCAACTCAAACTGGCTGGACAGAAGCACGAATAGATTAATAAGTGCACATATCATGCATATCATATCATGCATGAATTCACTGAACAAATAATCAGCTACGTATGTGATATGTACTTATTATGAAATACATTATACGGAAAACAGAATGGAACAGTGGAACAGCGTATGCCTTTGACCCCATCAAAACGTATCCGGTATCTTATCTGTTTTCCAGCAGCATATATTTCCGCAAATGTTGTAACCAATCAAAAGGTATTCTATACTATATGTATTATTACATATATATGTACATATTTGCTATTATTACTAGTATTATCATTTATTATTATTTAGTATTATCATGTATTTTACCAGGTCAACCGACAATGGGGTAAAATGCACTACAAACCGCTAAGCTCTCAGCTCTTTTTGAACCAACGCTATCGGGTAGATCGATGATATATACAATACATGGTTTTACTGCAGGAGTTTTTACACCCCCCTCGGGCGAGCAGGGACGACTGCGGAGAACGAATAACCCAGAAAAGCATACCCTCGCGGGTAGCCAAATTTCTTTAGTTGGTTTTAGACATTTTGTGCAGTCTTTCAAAGGTCCCTCTAAAAAGCTCAAGCCCGTAAAACCCAGCGCAGCGTTGCAAGGAAGGCACATTACCATGCCACATCTTGCGCTATGCTACAAAAGAAAATCATCGTCTCCCTAACGGTTCCAAAAGATCCAACGGCCGCCGGCCTCGTCACGGTAATACCAAGCCCCACGCCAGAAACTCCATTCTCGGCGTGCACCATAGTGATCACGATTCCAACTCCAAGAGGCATCCGGGCGACCGGAGCTTGCAGCCTTCGAAGTGACTCCTGCGGTTGCTGCTTTTGCAGTGGGCGGTGTCTCAGGCTCCAAGAATGGTCGTGCTCCTGCTTTGGATGTTGGTGGTTCAGGTACCAGAAATGGTGCGGCTGGGGCATCAGCGTGCGAGGCATCTGCGCGAGCAGAGCTTGAGGCGGCTGTGACATCTGGTGCGGTTGCGGATGCATCAGCTTCGGCTTTGCGCTTTCGCTCAATGGTGGGCGCGACCGTGGGGTCGGCCTTATGACCTCCAGGACCTCCAGCCTTTGCAGCGGCGCTCTGCTTCTCTTTGCGTTCAAGATTGCTCCGAACCAAGGGAAGGTTTTCCTCATACACCTTTTCGAGGAAATCACGAGTGCCATCAAGAGGGACTTGGACAGTACCCTTCCAGGTCAACAGGCCACGGAATGCGCCACGACGGCCGATGTAGCTGACATATTCATCCTCTGTAAAAATGTGGCGGCCAAACATGAAACCCCAGACCTTCTTCCATGTTTTGCGGAACTCAACTGGGAAGCCATCAACGCCACGAGGCTGAGACATGAAAATCAACTTAGATAAGCAGTTCTCATTTTGGGCATTGGCGGCGACGCCAGCCGAGATCTGAGCTCTGGTCCTTGGGGGATCGGGGAGGTTGCCGTATGCGAACATATCGTCAAATATGCAGTCCTGCAGGTCCTTCCCCTCACCGTGGATGCGGTCGCAAAAAGTGACGTCGCTGGAGTACCTGTCTTCCACGTCCTCGTAGCCCAGCGCTTTTGCACGTCGATGCCTGTCGCGGCAGTCTTTGAGGACTGCTGATTCCACGGATGTGATTCCCCTGGGGCCCAGTTCTCGGCGTAGCAGGTTGGCTTGCTCTTCCGTCAAGGCTGTCAGCAAGCTTCCGCTCATCTTCCCAAACATTCCGAACCCGGCGAGACTTTGCATTCGCCGTTCAAGGATGCGGGTCCTCCTGTTGGGTTTGTTGGCCTCTTTTGTATCGCCACTTTCGTCCACTGGGAGTGGCTCAAAACCACATGTGGTGCATGTCACTTGGCCACTGACGTACTCAACCTGGCAGAGGGGACAGGAGCCCATGAAAGGTTCGCAGTACTTGGGTGCAATGTAAACACGGCGCGTCCTTGCGGGCGGCTGGTCAACTTGCATTGAGGCAGTGGCTGCATCATCATCAGTGGACTTGGCATCGGGTCGCCCCGTGCTGGTGTCATCCATTGGGTCGTCATTTGCATCATCTCGGGCAGTCAAGGTGACCGCTTTGGCTTTCGGTGCTGAGGCAGATGCCGCGCCAGTCCATGTGCTGGGCTCGAGATTGCTCTCGGCGCGGGACCAAAGCACCTGTCCTTCTTCTGAGATGCTGACCAGAAACTGCGGTGGGATGCGTTCTGAGCACAAAATCCCATCCATTTCTGTGCGACTAAAGATGACACCAGCTTCAACTGCTTGCCGCATTGCGATTTTGACTTCGATTGGACATTTTGCTCTTAATCCAGATCGATACCCCTGCGTGCCAATACAGTGTTCTGCCATGTAGATATGGGCACGGCCACTGTTGACTGTTGCACCGCCGCCTGGGATCAGGCCGTTCTGTGCGATGCTCTTCCAGCTGCTTTTCATCGTGCGATGGAAGACAACCTCAGGAACCTCAGTCATGGCACACAGGGGCACGCCAGTGAAGGCGGCTTTTCGCTCGGGGGATACATGGTCTGAGCAATACACCATGGTTGAATTGGCATAAAGACCCCCTGCGGTTTTCAAGGCAGCTTCGGAGTGACCCTGAATTGCACGGATTTTCACAGGATAATACGGCATGCCTAAGCCATTGTCGACAGGAAAATGGGAAATCTTTGCACACAAGAATTGGAACCTACTCTTGCCATGCTTGTCGATCTTCATTGCGGTGCCAAACAGGTTTGCAACAGTGATGAAAACATCTGGGGGCACTTCCTTGCGGAAGGCTTTGGCGAAATCCTCCAAGTCAATCCAAAGGTCTTTGTCCATTGGCACCTTGGCACAGGATCCATGCCCCCTGCAAACTTTGTTGACACGAGTCGCAAAATCAGAAAACTTCTTGTCGACGCGAGTCTGGCTGGCAATGGTCTCAACGTCGGATGCCGATATCAGCTCCAGCTCATAAGCCGTACCTTCAAAGAGGATGCCGGGCACATCGTCCCCGTCTGCATTGGTCACCATTGTATATTGGTATTCAGGCAAATGCTCTTCCATCCAATATGCTTTCACGTGGCCAGATGCTTGTCCCTCGAAGCGCGCAGTTGCCTGCGGCTGGTACTGGCTGGATGTGGCTCCCTTGTCATCTGCGGGCTCATCCATTGATGCTGGTGCTGCTTTCGGCCGCGACTTCAACATGACCTCAGCTGTCTGGACCAGGATTGTTGCTCTGCTGGATGCAGCGGGCTCGCCGTCGCCGGCGGCCTTTGGAGGGTCATCTTTGGGAGGCTCAGCAAACGTGCCCGAAGGCATCGTCTTGATGTCGATGTAGTCCTCAGTGTCTGGTTGTTGAGCTTCGACGTCCTCCTTGGTGAATGACCTGCCCGTCGGCACAATGTGTCTTCGGGACTCTCCAAAAAGCAACTTGGTGATGTTTGCACATGTCTCCTGATAGGATCTTGGCAGCTCGTCCAGGACGGCGCTCATGTTCCTCCGCAAATCATCCCATGTCTCCTGGGCACACTCAGAAAGCTCCAAACCAATTTGGCCGACCCGCCATCCGGAATCAAGTGCGAAAAGGGTAGCTGTCCAATAGGCAGCAAGGCGCGTGCGATTTTCTTCAGAGTTGGCGAAATGCCACTGGTCTCTGAATTCCATTGCATCGGCGTACCCTTTGCTTTCAGCCACGGATACCGCGGATTGGCACGCCCTTGCAGGCTGCTGGTTAGAGCTTTGAATCGGGGCTCCAAATGGTCGAAAAATTGATCGAAAATTGGATGAATGCCGTAATCTGCGCTCCAGGGCGCGGTCGTGAGACCGGCCGTCTGCAGGTCCAACTCCCGGGCCTTGTTGATGAACCATGTCAAGTGGCGCTCACAATCATCCAGGATCGTGGGCCAGTGCCCGTTGGGACCATCGTACGGCCAATTTGGATTTTGGGCAATTCCATCCTCTCCTACCAATTCATTTCCGAACCAGGACAAGTGCAGGTTGATGCGTGCATGAGGATAGCGCTCGCGGGCGTCCGCGGCCAATTCGATCCCTCTCTTTACCAACTTTTGCAAAGTTTTGCCCCAAAGCATCTCGTGGATGAACTCAGTCACGTACTTGGGTTTGCGCTGTCGGTAGTGTTCGGAAAGATCAAACTTCTTAAGTGTCTTCCTACGCCCTGTGATCAATGCACATGACGAGTCAGAGACTAAGATCCAGATTACGTCATTGACGGGCATCTCTGGCAGCATGATCTTTTCGATGTGGGACTCCTTTGGCAAAAAGCAGAAACTAAGGTATTCTGCAAGCGGATCCTCTCGACCATAGAACCTCAGGGCCGAAGTCGGCGTCCATTCGGTCATCAATCCATCCACAAGGTCCTGAGCAGCCTGATTCTCACCTTCATTGCGCATGGCCAATGCATACAAAATGCGATTGTGAAGGAGCAACCATGCTTCTTTGTTAGCCTCACGTGTGGCTTCGAGCGCAGCCTCGCGGCTGGCCGGGTGTGCTGTGGCATATCGTGAGTCAGCCATTTTTGCAGGACAGGCACGAATGACAACGGGTGAAATCCTTTTGGATGTTTGGCCCACCACAGCTACCCGGAAACACTCATGGAGCATGTCAGTCAACTTGAAGGTATAGTTCTCAGCAAGTTTAAGAGCTTTGCCCCTACT